CACTCCCCGGGGAAGGGCGAAACGGTGGTGGGGGCAGGCCAACAGCCACAGGCCAGCCCCGAAGGCGCAGGGCGCTCTGAGGGGCCAGCGGCCCTGACAGACGCTAGGCTGGGGGCCAGTCCCACCTTCGGGGACAAGCTTTTCGGCAAGACCGGCCCCACCGCCTCCTTTCTGGACAGCGTGAGCGCCCCTGGCCTCCATCTCCTAGCCAGACCCTCACCGCTTCCCTTCCTGCTGCCTCTACCGCATCAGGGCTGCTGCCACTGGCGGGCCACGGGCCTGCCCCACCCTGTACGAGCCCGGGAGCCCAGCGGCCGTCTGGCCAGCGTGACCTTCCTCCCTGGACGGCAGCACTGAGGCGGACCGTCCGTGTCACCCGCCCCACATGACCACAGAGCAACTCAAGGTGCACGACCTGACCCCCCAAAGGCCAAGTCTGGACAGACAGAACAGTTGCAGGAACAATCGAGAGCGCTGCGCGCCCGACGAGGGCGCACCCCACGGACCCTGGCGGAGGCCTGGCCGACGTCGCCCGCGGCCCTCACACCGGACGGCCCCGCCGGTCCACGCCGCCCGCCTGTCGGGCCTCAGGCTCGGGGCCACACGCGGGGTGAGCCACGCACCCCACGAGCCCGGTGATGCCCGCGAGTCACTCGTGTTTCCTCAAGGGCTGTTTCCGTGGGAAATGCCCTGCGGCCAGCCGAGCCGCAGTGCGCGTCGCCGAAGTGGCCGGCCGTGGATGGCTCGGGCCCCCCGTCCAGGAGTGCAGGCTTGGGCCGCCCCAGAAGGGACCCAGGAGGCTCCACCCGCGCTGGAGGGGAGAGTGGCCGCGCCCAGGGGCACGGCGAAGCGTGGGAAGCGCGTGGGACGCCGACGCCTCCCGTCCCCAGCAGCATACCCGGCAGGCCGGGCGCCGACGCTGGTCGCACTTCGAGGGTCCCGAGCCCGCCCGGGGGCCCAGGCCCGCCGCACCGCAGGCCGGCAGGAGCCTGGGGCTCTCCAAGCAGCGTGACCGGGAGGAAGCTGAGGACACTCCCGTCCCGGACGGCTGTGCTCAAGGCACCTTCCCGCCGCCCGCCCAGGCGTCATCCCCGGGCAGCGCGGCCTCTTCCTTCTCGCCCAAAGCCCGAGCCATCCGGGGCCGCTGGTGGAGGCCGGCAGTGGCTGCGGACGCCGCTGGACACGAGGCGCGGGCAGCCCGGGCCCAGCACCAAGCCGGCAGGTGAGCGGGCACGGAGGGCGTGTGGCCCCCACCCCGCTACCAGCAAGGGGTTCCCAGCGCAGTGGGGGACACGAGGGAGCCGCGGGAGGAAGTTCAGGCCCGCGAGTCTGAGCAGGCCGGGCAGCGGCCGGCTACTAGGTCGTGTGGGGAGGGGGCGCCCCGGGGGCCTGGCCAGCCAAGCGCCGTCCCAGCGCCCCAGGGTGGCTGGCCTGCGGCTGCTTCTCCTCCGCCCCCAGACACCGTTCTCCCGAGAAGCAGCTCAGGTTCTCCCAGAAAACCCCTTGCAGTGCCACAGAGTTCGTGAAAACGTTCGGACCTGCCCTGGGGCTGCAGGCCAGCGTGCGACCCGGCCCGGGAGTGACCCCAGGCGCGCTGTCCAGCCGCCCCTCGTGGAGGGTCTCGGGGACCTGCCTGCTCTGTCCCGCTGTCTGCGAGACCTCACTCCACCCCCCAGCCTGCACCCCAGCTCTTCTACTGCAAAGCGGCAAGGACTCCGGCCCCAGCACGATGGCCGGGACAAGCAGGCCGGGAGTGGCCATGCCAGCGCCGGCCGGCGCACCCCAGGGGCTGACCACGCGGGAGGCACGCCAGGGGCGCGCGCAGAAAGGCGCCTGTAGAAAGGCCATCAGGCGGGGTCGCCCGTCTCCAGTCACCAATCCACGAGTCTGGTAAACCCCGAAGGCACAGCGGCGGGCAGGCCCCGGGCTGCACTGAGGCCACCCGGGCTGCGCGCCTGGGGCGCCTTGGCAGGGCCCATCCTGCGCGCGGGCCCTGGGGCGCCCCCTCACCTTCCCTCTCCAGGCCAAGTGCCGAGAGGCCACAAGTG